TGGGCAAAATATTGATTGATGCAGGAAGCACCTAAAGTAGATGGAAGGAATACACAGAGTTACTGTACCAAAAAGAATGAGTCGACATTCAATTATTTCAGGAGGTAGCATATGATCAAGAACCAATGGTATTGAAGGAAGAAATCCAAGCTGCACTGAAGGCATTGGTGAAACAGAAGGCTCCAGGAATTGATGAAATACCAACTGAGATGTTTCAGCGCTGGAGGTGCCCACTCAACTACGCCAAAGAATTTGGAAGACAGCTACCTGGCCAACCAACTGGACGAGATCCATATTTGTGCTCATTCCAAAGAAAGGTGATCCAACAGAATATGGAAATTATTGAACAATATCATTAATATTACTTGCAAGTAAAATTTTGCTGAAGACAATTCAAAAGAGGTTGCAGCAGTACATCGACAGGGAACTGCCAGAAATTCAAGCTGGATTCAGAAGAGGACGTGGAAAGAGAGATATCATTGCTGATGTCAGATGTATCTTGGCTGAAAGCAGAGAAACCAGAGAGATGTTTACCTGTGTTTTATTGACTATGCGAAGGCATTTGACTGTGTGGATTGTAACAAATTATGGATAACATTGCAAATAATGGGAATTCCAGAACACTTAATTGTGCTTCACACAGAATCTGTACATAGACCAACAGGCAGTCGTTCAAACAGAACAAGGGGATAGTGCACATTTTAAAATCAGGACTGTTGTGTATCAGGGTTATATCATTTCACCATACTTATTCAATCTGTATGCTGAGCAAATAACTTGAGAAGGTGGACTATATGTAGAAGAACAAGGCATCAGGATGGGAGGAAGACTCATCTACAACCTTCCTTATGAAGATGACACGACCGTGAAGAGGACTTGAAGCACTTACTGATGAAGATCAAAGACTACAGCCTTCAGTATGGATTACACCTCAACATAAAGAAAACAAAAATCCTCAAAGCTGGACTAATAAGCAACATCATGATAAATGGAGAAAAGATTGAAGTTGTCAAGGATTTCATTTTACTAGGATCCACAATCAACACCCATGGAAGCATCAGTCAAGAAATCAAATGACACATTGCATTGGGCAAATCTGCTGCAAAAGACCTCTTTAAACCATTGAAAAGCAAAGATGTCACTTTGAGAACTAAGGTGGTCCTGACCCAAGCCATGAAATTTTCAATCACCTTGAGTGCATGTGAATGCCGGACAATGAATAAGGCAGACTGAAGAAGAATTGATGCCTTTGAATTGTGATGTTGTCAAAGAATATTGAATATACCATGGACTGTTTGAAGAAGGAACAAGTCTGTCTTGGAAGAAGTACAGCAGAATGCTCCTTAGAAGCAAGGATGGTGAGACTAAGTCTCACTTACTTTGGACATGTTATCAGGAGGGATCAGTCCCTGGAGAAGTACATTATGCTTGGTAAGGTAGAGGGGTCAGCAAAATAGAGGAAGACCCTTGAGGAGATGGACTGACACAGTGGCTGCTCAATGGGCTCAAACATAGCAACAGTTGTGAGGATGCTGCAGGACTGGGCACTGTTTTGTACTGTTGTACATAGGATTGCTATGAGTCGGAACTGACTCAATGACACCTAACAACAACAGCTAATCGGTGACAAAACAGTGTTTCAGCTAGAAAGTAGACAAGAATTATCTTAGGGGAAGGGAGGGACAGCATACACTATAGGGGAAGTTAGAACAACTGGACTAAACCAAAGCTAAGTTTCCTGAATACAACCAAACAGAGGGACAGAGTAGCAGGTGCGGGGATCTGGGGACCACGGTTTCAGGGAACATCTAGGTCAATTGGCATAACAAAGTTTATTAAGAAAATGTTCTGCATCTGACTTTGGTGAATGACATCTGGGGTCTTAAAAGCTAGTGAGTGGCCATCTAAGATGCATCAATTGGTCCCAACCCACCTGGAGAATGAAGAACACCATGGACACAAGGAAAGTATTAGCCCAAGAGTCAGAAAGGGCCACATAAACCAAAGACTTCATCAGCCTGAGACCAGAGGTACTAGATGGTGCCCAGCTACCACAATGATGGCCCTGACAGGGAACACAATAGAGAGTCCCCGACAGAGCAGGAGAAAAGTGGGGTGCAGAACTCAAATTCTAGTAAAAAGACCATACTCAATGGTTTGATTGAGACTGGAGGGACCCCGGAAGACATGGCCCCAGACTCTCTGTTAGCCCAAAACTAAAACCATTCCTGAGGCCAACTCTTCAGACAAAGATTAGACTGGGTTATGGGACATAAAACAATGCTCGTGAGGAGTATGCTTCTTAGCTCAAGTAGATACATGAGACTAAATGGGCAAGATGAGAAGGCAGACAGGGTCAGGAGCTGTTTGAATGGACATGGGAAATCCGGGATGGAAAGGAGGAGTGTGCTGTCACAACATAGGGAGAGCACCTAGGGTCACAAAACAATGTATATATAAATTTTTGTATGAGAGACTAACTTGAATTGTAAACTTTCACTTAAAGCGCAAAACAAAAACACAAAACAGTATTTCAGAATTTAACTGTTTGTCTCAAAAGCACCAGCTTCCTAGAGTTAAAAGCTAAATTGATATTCTCTTAACATCATCATTACTACTTAACATTTTTGCACAGGATTGGCCTAACCATCAACCAGTGTTCTTTTAGAAACAATTTTCTAATGGTATGTTGACTCCCCCGCATCCTGTTCCATCTGTTTCTTTGCAAAGATGATTGATGTCTGAGCCTGGAGCCTAAAAACACTGACAGCATCTGTAGCCACAGTAGCTCACAGAAAATAACTAACTGGAAAGTCATTAACGGATGCAGGAACTCTTTTCTGCCCCCAAGAGAATGCTGGCATCTAGGAGCAAGACTCTTGGGCCCTACTCAGAGAGATCAGCAAGGTAATGCATAATGTGGTCCAATGTATATGTCAAATCATCGGGGCCATTGGAGGAACAGACTTAGGTGCCTACTTCAAATGAAATGATATTCCAGAACCTATCCTTTTATTATAGTTAAAGTAGCAAAGGGTTCATTAAAATTGGCATCTGTAGCCTCTGTAGAAAGACTTTTTCTCCCTTGCCAATGTATGACTGTTATGCCCCGAGTTCATTTCTCCTGTCCTAAAGATTTTTTATTGCCCGCTAAACTAAGTTTTCTCTAAATTGCTGGAGAAGAAAAACACCCCAAACTGCTTATTCCATCCAAATTGTCTCCTATATTGGCCTATATTGTATTGGCCAAAATGAAATCCAGGGCACCAAAGTTGATAATATGGGAGCAAGTTGCTTGATAAGATTTTTTAAAAATCCTCTGGAGTCACAGTTGGTCATTACTTAGCCTGTCAATTTTATGTAGTCAGTGGGATTTCCTCTACCCCTTATTGGATGATTACATTTTGTTATATTGTTTGTGTTACTCTAATATTAGCACTGAGAAGAAAGAAAATATGACCAACTGGCTTCACACAGAATTTGGAGCACTGCCAAGTGTAAAAGGATGTGTAAGTGCTGGTCATGATGACATATGGCAAATTAACCCCCTGCATCATGGCACAGTTGACTGCCCCAAGGTCAACAACTTCCTCACAGTCCTATTCCTTGGCAAGTATTGGAAGAGTTCAGCTAGTGGTGGGTATTGGTGGTTCAGTGGTAGAATTCTTGCCTTCCACGCAAGAGACCTGGGTTCGATTCCCGGCCAACGCTCATGCTTGGTTTGTCAGAGGAGGCTTACGTGTTGCTATGATGCTGAATTGGTTTCAAAAGAGCTTCCAGACTAAGACAGAGTACGAAAAAGGCCTGGCAATCTACTTCAAAAAATCAGCAAATGAAAGCCCTACAAATCACAACCATCCAATCCATAACCAATCATAGGGATGGCACAGGACTGGGCAGCAATTTGTACAGTTATGCCTGGGGTTGCCATGAGTTGGGAGCGACTGGAGCTAACAACAATCTGATTCTAACACTTCCCAAGGTCATGGGTCTGCCAAGGCTTTCTTCTCATGATGAAATGCAGAGTCCAGTCAAGTGACCTGGATTGAAATTCTGACTGCCACTTTCTTGTCACGTGGCCCTATGCAATAATTTAATTTTCCTGAATCTCACTTTCCCACTCTGCAAAATTAGAACAGACCTTTTCTTTTCATTCCTTCCTCACTTGGGTTTTATGAGGATCATATGAGAAAACTGTAGGAAATACTCTGAAGAATAGGTAAGTACTGTAAAAATGCATTGAAGTAGCTGGGGATTTTAAGTGGGGTCTGTGTGTATGTGGTGTGTATGTGTGATGTGATAAAAAGAAGTAGAGGTAGGTTAGTGAGACTTAATTACTTTATTATAATTTTAATGCTCTCTCCCCTGTTTTACAGATTGGTCAATAATTATGGTTAAATTTTCAGCCCCTACTTTAAATACCTCCTAGGAAAACCACAGTAAGTTATTTTTAGTCTACCACATACTTACTTCCTGAGCAAAAAAGAAACTCACTCAGCTTTGAATGTTTATCTATGGCATGGAAAACTTGGTTTAATTCCCTAGATACCTGTAGTGTCATCAAATTTATCCATATATTTAATCTAAATTCTATGTGTAGTCATTTAAGGCCATTATGTCCATTCTCCCCTCATCAGTTAATCTATATAACAGCTCTCTATCCTGCTCATTCCATCCATTTTTATTTCTGTGGACAGTTATCACCCCAAATGCCTTCATTTTATTTCTGAGCCAGTTCTTTTTCTTGACTCAAAGGCCATCTTTGGAAACATTTATCACTTTTTGTTGGTCTCCGAAGAAATCTGAAACACATTTCATTCACCCATTTAAATTCAGGATCACGGGCCCTTGCTAATCCTTGCTCTACGAATCAAGGGGAAGGGGTCTTGTCCAAACGGCCTTGCCATTTTCTTCTCAATGCATGCACCTGCCCTGCTCAGTGAAAACGACAAAAGTGAGCAGGGAGCACAAAGCCCCTTCCTCAGGTGAAGAGGTCTTACCACAAAGACTTCACAGCAGATGCAAAGGCCACTATTCTTGGTAAAGGCATGGGTTATATCCAAGAGAGCAGGTCTTGTCATGGGTCCCCCCGTTAAGACAATGCACTGGGGTCTGGAAATGGAAAGAAGAAGATGTGAGAATTGACCATTGCAAGAAGTCTGTGAGCCCATAACCACCCCAAATGTAAATGGCAGGTACAGAAGACTTGGTGAAATGGGACAACTGCTCTCCTAAAATTTCTTAGGTTTCCCACCACAATTTTTGAGTCATCTTGCCTGTTCATCTTGCCATCTTTGTATTCTCAGTGACAGTAAAAGTGTAAAGTCAGAAAAAAATTGGCCCTCTGACTTCTTTCCTCTGAACACTTGTTGTTAGTTGCTGTTGAGTTGGTTCTAACTCATGGTGACCGTATGTATAACAGGATGAAACATTGTTTCGTCCTGTGCCATCTTCATGATCATTGGTGTGTTTGAGTTCATTGCTGAGGCTATGCGTCAATCCATGTCATTGAGGCTTTTCTTTTTTTTTTTTTTTTCACTGACCCTCTGGACACTATACTATCCTAAATTCCCAACCCAACCTGACCCTTTCTAACCAGTATTTTCATACTATTTTTCTTCACTCTTCTTGCAAACTTGTATTTTGAGAGTCTATTCAATAAGATAGAACTAATGGAGAGCTTAAAGTGTTACTTCCACTAAAAGAATTCAGTAAACCACAATGCCCTAACCTGAATGGAGAGAGCTCCAACGATTAGTGTGGCGGGGGGTTGGGGACATCTCTCTGAAGTCATGTCATTGGGCAACCCCCTCTCTCCTTGTGTGGGAGGTGATACCTGGCGCTATGAGGGGCTGGAGCTGGAGGTTGGCATAGCTCAGAGTGGAAAGGAAGACACAGGAAGTACTGTCATAAAAATGTGGCAGATTTGTGTGACAGTTGATTTTTAGACTATATCCATAAAGCTTATAACTACTGTAGTGCGTTTGTCTTCCATAAAGGAAAGCTGCCTCTAATGTAAGCATCACCAGATTGTCTGAGAAGCCACCTTTACCTGAAGTTTTTCACATGATCTTCCACGGTGGTTAGCTCCAGAGCATTGTCTAAAGCGCTCACATAGGAAAGAGCCTGTGTGGAGGAGCCCCAGTTCACATCTGTAGAGGAAAGAGGAAATTGCCGTAAAAAGCACTGACCTTTCCTCTGGACAATGTGAATAATTTTTGCAAGCATTCCCTTTTATGATTTCCCTGGCTGTGTCAGTGGTGGATGAGCGCCCAAATCAGATAAGATATAAAGTAGTATTTCCTAGAAAGAGCATCGTGTCCTTCTATGAACACTGTGAATGCTTACAAGGGGGACTTCTTTCCAGCTACGCAACCCTGGAAACCTCACGGGAGAGGCTGTCTGATAATCACACAGTAGGCAGATAGAATTGGGAAATGGGTCAGCCCATGAGTAAATCCAAAAGCTCTTCACAAATTCTTAAATTGAAAAGAAAGGAGGTATTTCTGTATACATGGAAGTGCAAAATAATCTTTATATTTTAAATAGTAAAACTGAATGAAGATATCTCAGGGTGTCCAGGAAGAGAGTCAAGGTTTTTTAGGAAGTATTTTAGTTTGATCTTTTAGGAGTTAATCTTCGTAATAAAGGAGGTAAGTACCACCATCCCTTGCCTTTTTTTTTTTTTTTTTTTTTACAAATCTACAAATTAAAATATGGCATCTAAGTTTTATGAGAGGAAGTCTCAGTGGAAATGTCCAGATCCACCCTGGAGAGCAGCCAGAGCCTATTCTCCCTGGCTTTGTTCTGGAAAAGGATAATCTCTGGAGATAAAGAAGTTTAATACCGATTAAGTGTCGACTAAGTACCAGGCACTTAGTATACTGTAGGTCATTTTATTCTTGTATAAACCCTAATAGTCAGTTGGACATCTATATGGAAAATATGAACTTGAGCCATTCCTCACACCATATTAAAAAATAATTCAAAGTTGATCATAAACCTAAATGAAAAGCCTAAATCATTCAAGCTTCTAGAAGGAACAGGAGAAAATCTTTGTGACCTTCGGTTAGAGAAGGATGTCTTAGATCAGACACAAAAAGCCAAATCATTAAGGAAGACAATCGATAAATTTAACTTCATCGAATTAAGAATTTCTGCTCTTCAAAGCAAACTGTTTAAGAAAATGAAAAGACAAGCCACAGCTTGGGAGAAAATATTTGCAAAACGCACATATGCTAAAGGATTTATACCCAGATATATAAAGAACTCTCACAACTCAATAATAAGTAAACAAACAACTCAGTTAAAAAATGGGCAATTTTAACAGATGCTTCACCAAAGAAGATATATGAATGGCAAATAAGATGCTCAACATCATTAGTCATTAATATGTACATCTATTAATATGCCTAAAAGCAAGCAAACAAACGAATAATAATACCAAATCGTGACAAGAATGTGGAGCAACTGGGACTCTCATCCATTGCTTGTGGAAATGCAAAATGGCACTGCTACTTTGGAAAAATTTGGCTATTTCATATAAAGTTATATATACATTTACTATACAGTGAGAAATAAAACATGAGTCTACACAAAGTCCTGTATGTGAATGTTTATAGCAGCTTTATATATAATCACCGAAAACTGGAAGCAACCCAAATGTCCATCAACTGGTGAATATATTAAAAAAATGTTTTGATATATTCCTACAATGGAATACTACTCAAATAAAAAAAGAACTACTTGTACAAGCAATAACGTGGGTGAATCTCAAAAGCATCATGTTAAGTGAAAGAAGGCATTCACAAAGGCTATATACTGTGTGATTCTATATATGTGATATTCCGGAAAAGGCACAGCTAGAGGGACAGAAATCAGAAAAGTGACAGAGGGACTGGGGTCAAGGGCAAGAGACTGACTACAAAGGGTATAAGGGAACTTCTAGAGAAGATGGAAATGTTTTCTATTTTGATTGTGGAGGTGGTTACAAGACTGCATAAGTTTGCCAAAACTTATAGACTATACATCTAAAAAGGATAAATTTTACTGTATGTAATTTTTTTTTTTTTATAAAGTTTCTGTCAAGTCGATTCTGACTCATGGCAACCCTATGTGTGTCAGAGTAGAACTGTGCTCCATAAGGTTTTCAATGGCTTATTTTTTAGAAGTAGATTTCCAGGTCTTTCTTCCATGGCACCTCTAGATGGACTCGAACATCCCAACCATTTGCGCCACCCAGGGACCCCATGATGTTAAAAATACATAAAGAAATAAAGAAAAACATAATAAACAAAATGCTACAGGGTAGATCTTCGCATCTTTGCTTTACAGGTAAAAGGACTTGAGCCTCACAGAGTAAGGGTAAGGGTGAGACTGGGCTTCTCAGTACGGCATTGTTGCCTTTAGCCTCTCCCTGATTTAGTCCATCCATCTCACTGGTTCCAAAGTAACATCCAAAGTTCAGATGCAATTACATTTCTCCCATTTAATAGCCTACGGCAAGCAGGCTTTTATTGTCGACAATACCCAGATTCTTCGTTGTTGTGTGTTAGTTGCCTTTGAGTCAATTCTGACTCATAGCGACCCATGTGTTACAGAGTACAACTGCACCACAGGGTTTTCTAGACTGTAATCTTAACAGAAGCAGATTGCCAGGCCTTTTCTTCTGTGGTACCGCTGGGTAAGTTTGAATTGCCAATCTTTAGGTTAGCAGTGGAGCACAAACCATTTGTGCCACCGACGCCCTTCCAGATTCTTTAGTAAGAAATTTAAGTTTCTTACTCTGGCCCCATCCTACCCTCCCAGGCTCACCTTTGTCTCTTCTCCCTAGTACCCAAGAAATCCAGGCTAAAGTTTTGAAGTTTACCAAGTATGTCATGATGCCACATACTCATGTGCTTCCTTGTCTTCACGCTTGCTTTTCCTTCTGCATGGAATATCCTTCTCTGACTCTGTCTGATGAACCCCTAGTCATCTTTTTAAAAAACTGAAGATGTTGCTTATTTACTCATTCGTCAAACATTTATTAAGAGTCTACTGTGTTCTTGGCCCTTGGGACACAATGCATGAACCAGGAATGTTTTCTTGGAAAATTCTAATCAGAGTTAACCACTTCCTCCCGTTTTCTCAGGATTTGGTTCAAGTCACTATTACAGTACTGATTACATTTTATTATAATTGTTATGTGTGAGCTTGTGAACTCCTTGAGGACAGGGACTATATCTTATTCATCAGAACATTAAAGGCAGAAGGGGATATAATGAAAGCTTATGGGGTTTGATGCCATATACACTCTGGTTAAAACATCAGCTCCATTACATCCTGTTACCTTGGCAAGTGGTCCACTCTGTGAACCCTAGTTTTTTCATCTGTAAAATGGGACTAATGATACTTAATTTACAGAATTATTGTGAGGATTAAATGAATTCATGGCATATAGTAGATGCTCAACAAGGTTGACTGTTGCTATTATTATATTGCATTATATAATTAATATTCACAGCACACATAGAAGCAGCTCAATAAATATTTGTTGAGTAATGGGTAGTTAGAGAGTGCTTTGGAAAATCCACACTCTACAGCCCTTCTTAGCTTACCTGGCTTCTTATAAGTCACATAGACATAGAGGAAGAACTCAATGACATAGGTGATGACAGCTGCCCACCAGTTGATAACAAACATGACTGCACAGCACAAAATAGCTCCAAAAAGGGACACCCACATGTTGTAAATTCCATATGCAGGTCTCCATCCTGAAAGTTAAAAAAAAAATGTGTATCCACACTTGAAACTCTTCCAAACCACTACCAGCATTTAACACTTTATATTATTGCAATGCAGGCAACATGGCTTTTTTTTTCTCCTGGTATACAGAATCAGAAATTTTAGGTCAAGTTCCTAATTCTATCAGTACTTTCCTGGGATCTTGAGACCCTGGTTTCTTTCATGAAGGGACATTTAGAAAATGTTCAGCAGCTGGAAAAAAAAATGCCGTTCATGAGCCCTCGCTGTCTCCTGTATGGCACCTGGCTGTCTTCCCAAACACCAGACTTAAGCATCTGATTTCCTATGCCATCAGTAGTTAAAAGGAGGCAGGAGGGATGGAAAGGGTAGAACCCAGCAGATAGGAAGGAGGGACTCCTTGGTGGTCCAAGAAAGAGAAGGTTAACACAATAAATGAGCTTATTGTTTGCATGGAGAAAACAGAGCTTGAATTTTGGGTAGTTCTTCCATTACCCTAGGAAGATGGGGCTTGTCCTTTCAGAAATAATAATGTATGGGAAAAGGGAGAAATTTTTCTAGTAATGGCTTCTTAAACCCAATGCATTACTATGCCATGCGTTTTACAATGAAAATACTTCTCATGGTTCATGCATGCATGGGGCTTCCGTGTTTTGTTAGTTTCCTGCAAAGAAAGAAGCTGGGAGGCAGCATGAGCAGGGTGGGAAAGCTCTGATTGGAAGGACACATTTGGGCTGTGGGTGAAGTATGTTCTCAATTCAGTTGCCAAAACACAACAGAACTTTAAAAATCTCCAGAAGCAATTTCCGAAACGACCACAAGATGGAAATAGCACTTCAAGAACATCGCCGGAAATAGCCTTGTTTTTCTGTGAGTCTGGCTTTCTGTCTCTCCCTCTCTCTGTGAAAGAGGGAGGCATTTCCTGGGATTGTGTATCCACGTGTCTTCTCTATGTGCTTTTCTAGTCTTCCTCCTTCTCTTTCTCTCTCCCTTGTTCCTTCCCTACTTCCTTTTTACTTCTTCCCTTGCCCACCTCTGCGTTTCATGTTGTTATTCAAAACTGGCCATCACACACATTGGAGGTACATATTTCTATGATTTTTTGTTCTTTTATATTCTTGGAATAGAGTTTTCTGCTTAGAAGAGCAAAACAAAACAGAAACAAAAAGTAAAACATCTTCAAGAAAAAACTAAACTAACTACCATAAATCAGTCCTCAATTATCTTCCATAACCTAGTGGTCCTCGGTGCAGTGGTTAAGAGCTCAGCTGCTAACCAAAAGGTCGGTAGTCTGAATCCACCAGCTGCTCCTTGGAAACCCTACTCTGTCCTATAGGGTTGCTATGAGTTAGAATCAACTTGATGGCAATGGATTTTTTTTAGTGGTCCTTGGTGGATAATGGTTCCCCTTCCATCTATATTTTCTTCCATTGGCAGCAGGTTTTCCAAAGGAGGCTTGAGATTGTGGCTGGCCCCAAAGTCTCTAAGTGTGTCTGTATCCTAGATAACAATGATCACGGTGAAGTACTTTCTGAAGGTCAATAACAATAAGTCTTGATTCTGGTGACAAGGCAGAAAAAATTCTACATGCTATGAAAGCAAAGAAGTGGTGCAGGGTGACGAGGCTGGGAAAGGTTCTTTGGAGTAAAATTTTGAGCCATTTTGAACCACAGCCCAAGGAGTGCACTGAGGTCAGTGGCAGCAAGCCGCCGATGCCCACCATGAATCCGCATTTACTGCACTCAGCGGGTAATTATGGGAACTCCTCATCCTTCTCTTCTGCACCATGGGCAGGAAACAAATTTATAGGAAGGAAGTTTCAAATATATACATTTATTCCACTTCTGTGGTCACTTTCGCCCTAGAAATAAATAGTGGTGTTTTTCTACTGCTGAAATAAATGTGGTTTCTCTTGCAATGAATAATTTATTGCCGCAGGAGAAAATTGACTTTACGGTTGGTCAAAAAGGCCATTGCTCAAATGATTCTTTTTCTATTTCAAAAGCCATCCCCCAACTGGCCAAAACAGAGTGGATTACGCCGCCCACTAGGATATAAGGAAACACACAAACACAGATTTTGTACTTTACGTGGACTTGTTTCATTTTACTGAGACAAATTAACTGTTTAGACCTATTTTTGTCTTGAAAAGTCATCTTACCTGGAGACTTGGCGTAAGAGGCATGGAAGCAGGAGAAGTTAATAAGTGCATACGAGGCCAGGAAGAAGTTGGAGATGATAGGAGCAATGGTGTTCAGTTCCGCTGTAAGAGAAGCAAAATTGAGCATGTACGTGTGAGTGATGAGACCAGGGCTGAGCAGCTGTTATAGCCTGGCAGCTTGACTTTATTTGGAAATTGAAAACATAGCTAGCATCTGTCAAAGTTTAAGAAGTTAGTGATTTTTCTTTGCAGCTGCATTCATTTTGTAATACACTCTTAGCCAGAGTTTCACAATGCAAGGAGCAAGAAAAACCACCAATCAGAAAATAGACAGTCAAGACCTCTACCGACAGAAAATCTGAGTGAAAGTGGATAGAGGATTTGGGGCTAGGCAGATGATAAAGTCTGCTTTAGCTATTCTGGAGGCACCAAATTCTCTGTTGATTTTCTGCTATGTATACATCACAAGGCTCCTCAAGGTGACATATTAGTTACATACCAGTATGCTAGAAAATTCCAGTTGGAAATCTCTCTGCAGATACCCAACATGCTCTCTCTGACTTTCAGAACTCTTGCTAGCCATTTATACTTTTCTACATCCCTAAAGAGCTCCAGCTGTCATGGATTGCCCAAAATATTTTTACCATCGTGGCTTACTATCCAGTAAGATTTAATCCCAGCTGGATTGTTTACTGTGTGCTATAAGAAATAACATAGAGACATTCCACTTATGTGAAGGTCAGATATCTATCAATCTCACTGATGCAAATGCAAGTGGCAGCTGGGTGGGATTCTAGAACACGGATGCCAACAACGAAGTAGGCAAAAATTAACCAGTTGCCATCCAGTCAGCTCTGGTTCATGGCGACCCCACGTGTGTCAGAGTAAAACTGTGCTCCATAGTGTTTTCAGTGGCTGATTTTTCAGAAGTAGATTACCAGACATTTCTTCTGAGGCACCTCTGGACACTCAAACCTCCAGCCTTTGGGTTAGCAGCTGAGTGCATTAAATGTTGGCACCATCCAGCGATTCCTAGGCAACATGTGCTCTGAAGCTAATCCATGCTATTCTCAAAAAGGAGTTTTTAAAGATATTACTTTATTTATATAAATTTTTTAAAAAACTTTGGCTATTTGATCACTAAAATGCAGCATAGGGCAATGATTTGTGGTCTTAAAAGTTAAATTACATACTTGAGGCATCTCTGTACATAACCACTTTTTGTTTCAGATTTAAAAAAAAAAAAATCTAACAAACTTAGTAATATTTTTTCCTTTTCAACCTGTACAAATTTGATGAGGATTCCTGAATCACAGTCACTTCCTCCTCAATGGACAAATGAAGGGCCTGAGATTATGCAGTGATGTCGAGCCCTCATCATTTGGCCCCCTGTGCTGGGGAAGGCTCAGTATAGGGACCATTGTCCTTCACCTTTTGCTTCTTTTCTTTTGATATGCTCACCAAAAAAGGCAGTGCCTTAGGCAGGAGTGAGGAATGTGCAGACTGAAGTTGATGAATGTGCCTCTCCAAGATTGTGTAGCTATTTCTATTTTGCTTGGGGAGAGGGAGCCAAGATTATAGTCTAGTGAAGTGGTTCTCAAGCACTGGTGTGTCTACAGATCTCTTAAGGAGCTTGCAAAAATGCAGATCCCGCCTCCCCAGAGGTTCTGACTCAGTAACTCTGGGATTGGGCCTGAAAAATCTGCACTTTAACAAACACCTGGGTGATTCTGATTAAGTGGTCAGTGGACCACATTTCTGAGAAATGCTAACATAGCCAATTCAATTCTCCTGCTAGCTGCCAGCCCAGGACATGTAGAAGTGGGGGAAACTTTTGTATTAAATGATCTGGGGCAGGTTGGAGGAAGGTTTCATCTGCATTTGGTTGGAGGGATTTCTAACAGCATGATTCACAGAAGAGATTAAAGTCCCAAGTCTACCTCAAGTTCCTCAAAGGCCTTCTATACACAAGGATTTCTCATTTCCTTCTTAGACAGAATCCAATAGTCCTATGTGAGCTATTAGATATAAAATGGCTAATTTCTCAAGGTAAAAGGAAAGGCCCATGAGTAATCAGGACTCTTTGGCTTTCAGTGAGAACAGAAAAACTACAAACCAATAAGAATGAATGCCATGGCAATAACAAAGGTGAGAAGATATCCTCTCAGGGGCTCGTTGTTCTTCCCGTATCCCTTTGCAAAGAACCGCAGGGCTTTGTAGATGTTGTCCTTGCACAGCGCCTAATGGAAAAGAGGAGGAGAAATCCATCACTTATATCTGTGCACCGTCATTTTCCCTAGGTGATTCAAACAAGAAGATTTGGTGAGAGATTAAGTGATACGCAATATGAGGCACAAGTTAACACTGCAGTTTATCATTCTTTATATTATTTGAATCGATCTTGAATACGTGGCAGACATAGCACTTGAGCCAGATGCAAACATTAAACTGTTTCGGAAAATGATTGCTGGTGAGAATAAATATTTCAGGTCGATCCACGTTTGGTGGAAATAGCAACAGGGGAAGCGTGTGCTCTTGTGCCTGTCTTACCTGGAACACCTTGGGTGCGCTGACGAGGGAGGCCAGGGCCGAGGAGAGCGTTGCAGAAAAGATTCCAGCAGTGATGAGGGGCCCAAACCCAGACACCATGCTCATGACCTTGAGGAAGAGAGGTTGAACTAAGGAGGCTTTCCTAGCCAATAGTTAAAAAAAAAAAAAATAATCCAAATTCTTAGGCAAATACTTCCCTTTCACTTTCTGTGATTTTGGAATCTGCTTTTTAAGCTAATTGCTTCTAAACCAGATTCATTCTCAAGTTCTCAAGATTTGCTTTTCCAAAATGGAAATGGCCTTTTTTGTTGTTTAGGCAAATAATAAATGCTCACCCCAACACACGCAAAGAATAAAGGAGGAAATAATTTCCAGGATTTTGACAATATTTTCCCTCCTGCTCTTGTGGTCACAGGGTTCTTTGATGATGGGAAATCCTATCCAGCAGAAAGTGTTTTTTAATAAGGTTTGGGGAGGGCTCTGCTGTTCACCAGTCTTTTGAAAGACTTTCTTCTTCCTCCTGCAACAGAGGCTTTTCAAACCTTTGCTTGTTCTGTGCTCATTAAACATAATTTTAGATCCGAGACATGATGAGATTCTATCAATTGGAGTCATATTTTGGTGGCTTAGGCTGAGTTAATTTCTCTTTGTTGGTTGTTAAAATAGATGAATGGAGGCTTCATGACAAATTTGCTTCTCCTTCTGCTCCCCAATCATTCAGAAAAATTAATATGTTCCAAGTCCTACGGGTTTCCCAACTGCCCTTGTACCTTCTCCCTCATTTACCTTCCCCTCTGCCACTCACAATTCCCCTCTTGGCACTGCTTTTCAGGCACCCCAGTGTCGCATCAGAGGCTTTTCCTAAGCTGAGGCCCGTGCTTGAAGTGCTTTCCAAGTGCTGACTGATCCAAGTTTCTCCTCGTCTCCACCAGGAAATCTTGCACCATTGATTGGAAGACACACAGTGTCAGGTGGTAACCTCTCCCTGGTGATGCAATTCCTACCCCACCACGTGAAATATAACCACAGTACTTGCTACCACATAATGCCTGATGAATCCTTTTTCTCGCACACAACTTCTGAATTCAAACTGATCAATAAATCAGTCAGTTGCACAGCTGGAAGTTTTATTATACATGACGTTCTAAAAATGAAAACAACAGTAATAAATTTGTTTAAAGTCCAAACCTGGAAATTGTTCATCAGCCCATACTGACATGGTTCATGTCGACATCTCGAAAAGTCGTAACCCAAGCCACAGGCTGCTGAACCACTGCAGTTCATTCTGGGGATGATGGTGTCGTTCATACTCCCAGTGGCGTCTCGGACCACACAGGCCCCTGCAGAAACAACCATGGTTTGCCTTTTCTTTAAAATGGTTCTGCTCCCTTAGAGTTTTCTTCTGAAAACATACTTCGCTTACTTTGAGAAAGAATAGGCTCATTTCTTATTCCCCTTTCGTTGCAAAATCTTCCTCTGAGCCCTGGGGGTGTCCCTGTCTACCAAAGGCTGGGGCTCCCACTGGCTTCGGTGGCTGACCTCCTCGATCCTGCCTGCCTCTGTAAGAGACGTGAGGGTTGGGACTCTGTCTTACTTTCTGCTTTCAAATTGCCTATGACAGTACCTTGCCCGTAATATGTATTCAATTCACATTTCTGACTTAGTGACACTGATTGGGTATTTTTCAAGTGGAAGGATTTATTTTCTCACCTCTGAGGAAGCAAAGGAATGGCATTATGGAATTCTATAAGTCAAGAAAACTGAGCCCTTGTTTTCAACTACTGATGTTACTTGCACAATTTTTTAAGCAAAGTTATAATTATACTTTATATGCAGTTTACTGGTTAAATAATAAGAAATGTTTTGGGATAAAATATTAAGATTTCATAGGTAATGTTAAGAGTCAACTAATATTTTATCAAATATTTATCTCTATTTTACTATATTCCATTACTTTTGTACATTTGTGTATTTCTATTATTTTCTATTGTAAATATTCTATGATGAACATCATTATGCATAACATTTTTCTCTGTATTTCAAAATATTTCTCTTAGATTCCCAAAAATAGACTTTAAACATTTTTAAAATTCTTGTTGTATATTTTAGCCACTGACTTTCCATGCAAGTTTCTATAACTGTAATCTCTGCCATTATGTATCTGATCGGATTATTAAAGTATAAGAATATATGTGTAAAATACATATTAACTTTTCTGAACTGCTTGAAGACTAAATACTTTACAAACTAAATGTCAAACAATAAACTGTTCACTCTGCTTTTCACACTCAGGTGAAATCTATCACACCTGGTAATAAATCTAAGACAAGTTACCACCATGGGAACTCATGGGAATGGACGCTCACTCTCAGCCGCGGAATTCACATTCTTTGCATCTGGGAAAAATTTGAAAATCACAGACTCTTCAAGTTGAAAGAGCCATTTAAAATAATCAGTACAGGAATCCTTTCTATCACGGCCCCAAGGGGTGGCCTGCCAACCTCTGCTTAATATTAAACACTTGAAATTATGGATTGTTTGTTGCCAAATGGTAAAGCTACCCATTCCAGAGTTTACTTTTTTGCCTCATGCATTTATGTCCAGCTGACTTCCTGAGTTGTGTATTTTTACCTCTGCCTAACAGATCTTCCCAGACTCGCAGAAGCCAGGCCCTGAGCCAGCCTTTGCCTTAAGGACCCCATTGACCCACCACTGTTTCTCTTCCTTCCCTGGCAAAAGTGTAGAAATGCAGGCTTTCTACCTTTCATGGCAAAACTGGAAGAATCTGTAAAATCAGGTTTATAACTTTGCCGTTCCCTCATTTTATTTTATTTGAGAAAGAAGATCATTTGGGAAATTTAACTTCAGGTAGTTTCAATGTCTTTTTAAAAGTATCAGTTTCCTGAAGCGTTGGAACAAAATCTCCTTACATGTAATTAAGCTTGGAAATGCCACAATAAGTTAACGACCTTATCCGATTTTCTCAAATCAGAGGCAGTGAGAGAAGCATGACTCTGAGTTAGTTTTTCTGTCTTTTTTCTCCGGAAATCAAGATACATACTCTTTTCTAATTTCAGTAAGCAGAGGATGACTTAGCTTTGCCCCTCGGTAAAATGGCCACCCAGCTCCCTAGTGGCCCCGGCTGGAGCTATGTTCTCTGTTGTGCACTGAAAGCAGTTTGCTTCTCTGCATGTTGGGAAACGTATTTCTTCCTCTCCTGCGATGGCTCGAGTGTGAGGTGGCCCCTGCCAGGAGGAAGTGTGGCTGCAGGTGGCACCAAAGTTGGCCTCAGAAACCACAAGCAAATACACGTATTTTCTGTTCACTGAGCAATGTGGGGGCTGGCCACCTGCACTGCTGGCAACTGGATGTTGTTCCGATTTCCTGCCAATCGGTGACAGTGACATTTTCATCTCAGGGACAGCAGTGCAATGATGGGCACAGTTGTCAACTCCACATCTTTCTTCATTTCCTAAAGCTGTTTTTCCACCCTTTTGGCTTCTCTCTTGCTCCGTTCTTCACATGTCTCCAAGGGCAAGGGAAATGGGTGCTGGAAGTGGTAACTTTCTTCCAAAAACCAAAACTCCTTGCTGTCAAGTTCAAATTCCAACTCGTAGCGACCCTATAGTACAGAGCAGAACTGCCCCATAGGGTTTCCAAGGCTGTAATTTTTACCGAAACAGATTGCTACATCTTTCTCCCACAGAGTGGCTAGTAGGTTCAAACCGCCAACCTTTCGGTTAGCAGCCGAGCGCTTTAACCACTGTGCCACCAGGGTAGCTTTCTTAGCAGTGGGATTATCACCTGGAGTAGCAAAATGGTACCCCTTTGTGTTCTGGTAGTGTTATGGATTGAATTGTGTCCCCCCTCAAAAATGTGTGTCAACATGGCTAGACCATGATTCCCGGTATTCTGTGTTTGTCCGCTATTTTGTGATCTGATGTGATTATCCTATGAACTGTAAATCCTAACCTTTATGATGTTAATGAGGCAGGATTAGAGGCAGTTATGTTAATGAGGCAGGACCTAATCTATAGGATTAGGTTGTGTCTTGAGTCAATCTCTTTTGAGATATCAAAGAGAGAAGTGAGCAGAGATCATAACACCCAGAAAGATGAGCCAGGAGTGGCGTGTGTCTTTTGGACCCAGGATCCCTGCACTGAAAAGCTCCTAGACCCAAGGGATGATTGATGACAAGGACCTTCCCCCAGAGCAAACAGAGAGAAAGCCTTCCCCTGGAGCTGGCACCCTGAATTTAGTCTTCCAGCCCCTAGACTGTGAGAAAATAAATTTGTCTTTATTAAAGCCATCCCCTTGTGGTATTTGTTATAGCAGCACTAGTTAACTAAGACAGGTAGAATGGCAATGTGGTTAACTCTACCCTAACTCTAACCAGGAGACCCTGGGTGGTTATAAATGGTTAATGTGCTGGGCTGCTACTTAAAGGCCGGAGGTCAAGTCCACCCAGAGGCACCTCGGAAGAAAGGCCTGGTGATCTACTGAAAAATAAGCCATTGAAACCCCTTTGGAGAACAGCTCTACTCTGACACACATGGGGTGGCCATGAGTTGGAATTGACTCCACGGCAACTGGTTTTTAACCCTAACCCAGAGACCTGCATTACAGCTTAATTGCATTCAGGCCTTTAGAGTATCCAAACCATAAATTAAGGTACCAAAAAGAGAGCTTAAAAAGTTGCCTCAAAAAAAGGATTTCTTTATGCTCCATTGAAAGCCCACAGGATGGGAAGGACATCTGGACCTCTTGCAATTCTGACAATCTGACACGGTGGGAGTGCAACTCACCTACACAAATGGCAACCGCTATGTAGGCCACGGTGGTGATGAAAATAGCCAGCATGGTTCCTCTGGGGATGGCATCTTGAGGATCCTTTGGAAAAATAATGTGGAGGTAGGCAAAGAGAGGGTGGAATAGGAAACAGATCACTTGGAGTTATTTGTGCATTTTCCAATACATAGGCTACCCTTCTTGAGGCTACTTCTAAAGAAAAGATCAGGCAGGCAAATGGCAAAGTGGGGAAGTGCATGAAGTTCTTTTCGGACAGAGCAAGGTATTTAACATGAAGAAAGAATTCTGTGAGACTTTGCATTGGATGGGAGAAATCTCTAACTGTCCAGGAGGAATATGTTATAGACAAGTACACTACTTAGTTTATTAAAGCTTTCATCTTTCCTTTACCTCCTACGACTTCCATGCAGACGTATCAAACCTTGAAGTATAGGGGAAATACACGAACACGTGGCACATTGACAGTATTCGTGTTTGTGTACATTTGTTTTCTATGAAGTTAGGTTGCCTTTAAAAAAATTACTTTTGACTGAGCAAAAAGGATGCTCCACTAAATTCTCCAACCCCTCAAAGTCCCCATGTGGAAACTAGCTCAGGAATGAGGGCAATGGAAGGTATTTAATTTTCATAAGCAGGCATAAAGAAAGAGGCAGGCTCAAGCTTATATCAGAAAATGTCTTTTTTCTCTTGCTTGTAAATGTATATACATTCACCGAGTCGAGCTCACATCACACGTAATATACCATTTTATATCCCGTTTGAGGGATAAATCATATCATAATCTTTTCCCAAGGAGCATAACTGTTTTAAAGAATTCTGTTCTACTTAACAGGGATTATTAAATGGAGATTTTAATGCATTCATTGTTTATACAGGACAGAGCCTGGCATATACTAGGAATCAATAAATATTGAATTGAGAGACTCGTAATGTCATTAAGCCTTAGTCCATCCAAGGAGCACTGGAGGTGCAGTGGTTAAGGCCTTGGCTGCTAACAGAAAGGTCGATGGTTTAAACCCATTAGCTGCACCACGGGAGAAAGATATGGCAGTCTGCTTCCATATAGATTACAGCCTTGGAAATCCTGTGGGGCAGCTCCACTCTGTCCTACAAGGTCGCTATGAGTTAGAATCGACTCGATGGCAGTGGGTTTTAATCTCCCCACCAGAAGTCATGAGCCTCATCAATACAAATAAGCAATCAATGCAGTCAAACAAAAGCTGAGCATTTTTTAAACATAGATCTGCTGACCAAGTCTATCAACAAGGTCAACTCACAGTAAATGTAGACTCACTCTGATGGACGGAAGTGATAATCAAATCAAGCAAAGCTACCCTATGTGGGAGTAAGCCAGCCCCTAGAATGCCACTCTGTGGTTGTTAATTCCTTTCCTCTCTTCTTGAAAGACGGGCAGGCAGGGTTTGTTCTGATGCATATCTACTCAGCCTCTTCCAAACTATCAGCTCCAAGAAATGAGGCAGGTGTGTGCAACTGAGCAATACATGGAAGAGAGACGGCAATCGTGGATGAAATGGGCCCCAATTAATGTTGTATTTCAAAATTGCTTGTATTGATTCAGGATTTCTTTGGACCATAATGGAATGTGAAGACTGATTTAAATGAGAAGAAAGGAAATATATTTAAGGGTAAAAGATGTGAAGACGGAAGGCAGTCTTGTACCTAAAACACAAAAACTTAAATATTTTTAGAACTATCTGCTACAAATCCTAAAATTACTTAAGCAGAACTTCCATAAGAACCTAACTTCACCCTAATAAATTGGAATGCCAATATATTAAGGTATGACCATTTATTCACATTGTCTGGTCTGGCTATAATCCCCCCAGACAGGACTCAGGACTTTAACAAATTCTTATTCTTAGTTTTCACTCTGAATCTCAGTTCCCATCTCCAAGCAGAAACTCTAAATCTAACTTTCCTTCACCTTTCTTCATAAATATTATAGTTTTTCTTAAGATAGATTACAAACAATCTATTATATTGCTGTGTTTTGGGTATGTCAGCCACATCCTAGCCTTGCATGGCTGAAATCACATCTTAATTCTCTTGATTGGATTTGATTCCTCAAATCTTCTCCAGGCACATATTTACAGACTTGTAATATGTGAGTTATTAGCAAACAGAAGGTTCAGGATGGGAAATTTGTAACATCCCTTTGAGCCAACTCTTGTTGACTGTCACTGGCAGCCTGAAGTGCTATTTTGAGGCTGTGATGGGTCAGCATCTTGCACGACCCTACAGTGGGTAAACAATAAGTATTTACTGAGTTGAAGTGAATCCATTATGTTTTGACTGTCTCTAGCTTCATCCTCATAGAGAAATATTTCTAAGTACCGAAGATACTGTGCCATTTTCCAACATACTGTCACTTCTCAGTCCTTACCATTCTTGACCACTATGGCTTTTGACCATGTTGATTATTACTTCTCAAAGCATCCCCCTTTCTTGACTTTCATGACCACACTCACTCTTAGTTTCCTCTGTCTCTTAGACAGCTCTTTCTCTTGCTTCTTCATGGACCCTTTTTCTACCATTAATACTTGGAATGTCTGTGTTCCCATGGTGCTGCCTTGGTCTTCTCTCCTCCCTCTTGCACATACCTGGGTGAGTTATCCATGCCCATGGCTTCCAATCCTGCTCCAGCCCTTCCTGAGCTCCAGACTCATAAATCTAGCTACTCACTACACAGCTCCACGCTGATGGCTCGCTGCCATTTTAATCTCAACTGCTAAATCTGAATTCATGTTCGTTACTACTACCACGTGAAATCAACTTAGTAGATTGCAACCAGCATTCAAAGAACACAATAGAATGGAACTAATGTGAAAATATCAGAAGACATCACTTGTAATAAAGCAAAGAATTGTTTGGGGAAACGTGTGTGTGTGCACTGGGTTGTGATATATGTTTTCTTACTCTGAGTCATAATAAAAACCTCCTTTCCCGTTCTTCTCCTAACTCTTCACCTTAGCCTACCTTTTTGATCCATTTCTCCTGCCATGGCCTTAATTCAGGTCCGTGTCATCTTTGTCTGTACTATTATGATATTCTTTAACTGATCTTTTGCCTCCAGTCTCCCTACCTATCATCCTCCACCCTCTAATCCATCCTTCACCGCCTGCTAGAAGCCACTCTCTAAACCAGACATCTAATCATGTGACTCCCTTATCTGACCTCCTTAGTGTCTCTACCCACTTTTGGGATTATGTCCAAATCCCATTATCTGTAGTTTAAAGGACTGCGAAGTACTATTTAAAAGCATAAAGTAGTGTATGTGCTCAAAGTTAAGTTCAATTGTAAAATCACCAAAGTATTTTTAAATGGAAAGATTGTAACTTTTTACAACAATACTATGATCATGATGTACCCTGAAAATCATGATAGGCCATCCTCTGCACTTCCTTTCATTTAAACCCCAAATCAGAAACTTTTCAGTATATACTGTTAGATAAATAAAATTCTTAAGTAACTTAGTAAACTTAAATCAAGTTAGCACTTATCTTAGGGGAAGGTAATTTTAAATTCTTGCTTTTTTAGACAGAGACGATATCTTATAGTGCTTTGATTACTCCCAGAGTATGTAGGACATACAGAACATTCTTTATAAATATGTTCATTAATATATTGATGAAAAGATCTTATTTGCATGCTACACTCCCCACATAAAGTAATCCCCATTAGCAGTATCTTCTCTGTACTTTTTTATGCCCTATTCCTTCTGTTCTGAATGTCCCTCTCCTCTTTGTCCTATTGATAAATTCTTATTCATCCCTTGAAATCTGGACTGAGTGTCTTCTTTTCTGAAAGCCTTCTCTTACTTCTTCAGAGACAAGCAGTATCTTAACTAATACAATTCTCGTTACAGTACTTAACATAGAGTAATATAAGTGGAGTTCTACATAAATATCTATTAAATGAGTTAATCTATCTATGAATTTAATGACATGGGTATTCAGTAATGAAATGACATTCTGGGGGAGTTTGATTTTTCCTGAATGTTCTATGCTCTCCTTAATTATGTATTTAAAAGAGAAAGGCTGATACTGGTAATTTTTTTCACTGAACTATATTCATTATGTTGGAAATATGATAAGCTGGCAATGCACTTTGCTCGTCTGATGTCACTGAATAAGACTTCTGGAAGAACTATCTGGAATAGGAACTCAAATTTGCCATTAAAAGTGAGAACTTGTAAATAACCAGGAAACCTTGCAAAAATCTTATAGTTTTGAAATCAGCAGAGAAACATGATCACTGTCAATCTCTATAACAACTTGTGTGCTCAGCAACCCCACCACCAGGACAACAAAGCAGAGGAAACAACACACCTCCAAATCTCCCGAGATGTTGGCACCAGCAAGAATCCCAGTAGCTGCTGGGAAAAAAATGGCAAAAACAGAGAAGAAGCCTTCTCCTTTTGTGAAGCTTGGCCCAAAATTTTCTGCAAATATTGACGCTGCAACACAAATAATGACAAAATTATCAAGTAGACTTTCTTCACAGGAGATAAAGTAAACTTTAGCTTCTATAGCCCTAAATGTAAATGGGTTCCTATATTCTAAATGGAATGAGGTTGAAGATGTTGGCATACTTTTGATGAACATTGTATAAATATTTGCCAACTGTCAAAATATATATCATCAGGTTTTAGATCTCTAGGTCATAGCGTTGAAAAAAATCAATAATCTTTGTGCCAATGGGGACCCAGGTTGCTGACTTTTCTGAATCTAAAAATGAAAGAAAGAGGAGGAGATAGAGAATTCTCTCACGACCATTCTGGCATGCTCACAAATATACCACACACATGCCCCCTTCCCTTGCCCCCCTCCAACACAACTACATTCTCACTATACAAATACTTTAAAGCATCAACACACTGCTTTTCTTTATAATTGTAGGAGAAATTTGTGGGTTAGTAATACCTTAAAATTTTGCTACTTATCTTACTACCCTCCCCCCAAATCTTGCCCCCAGAGATTGAATCTTAGATCCTTATGTTCTCATGTATGGGGGGATATTATAGTGAGGAGTTTGGGTCATAGAATAACAGTATTGCACAGGTTAGCGTGAGAACAGATAGCTACCACCGTATTACTTAGGTGAAAGGAAGCAACCTAGAAGAACAACAGGAGAGAAAAGAAAGAAACAAAAAGGAAGGAAGAAAAATATGAGCCAGAGATTCTGAGATGCAAACTAAGAAAGGAAAACTTAAAATATCAGAAAAATATTACAAGTGTTAGAAGGAGGGAGAATAGAAAGCAAAAGGATGTTGACATGCAAAGCAAATAGACGACGATCTTCAAAAAGAAGCAAGAGGTGATGTGATATACAAAAGAAACAAATATAGACAAATGAGTAAATCATGAAGGGAATTATTTAAAAATAAACTCAGCAAGTGGATGCTTAAAAAAGCTAGAGAGGAAGGATGGGAAAGATTGTACAGGTGGGTGAAACAGAAGAGCAAGAAGTCAAATTTCAAGCTCATTGAGATTACCACCATATGCTCTATTAAGTAACTTCCACAATCTTTTATGCTTGAAAGCTTGACACTGGTGCTTCATTAGGTAATGCTATAGGAAAGCAAGGTACAAAAAGTCCAGCAGGAAGAAAGAAAACAACTATGCTTGGCTGTAGTGCTCTGCAGTGTTGAACAAACGGTTCAGGTTGTGTTTTCTTCCCCTGTATGTGCTCTCAATTTCTACTATTTGACAGCGACAACAGTTTGTCCAGCACTTTAAGGCTTACAAAGTGCTTCCATAGCCATAATCTCATCTGATGCGCTCAAAATCCCCTCAGGAAGGTATTATTATTACCCACACTTTAGCAGGAATATTCTGAGATCCAAACACGTTAGGTCCAACTGGTAAGCGGCAAGGTTGAGACCAAACCTTGGGTCTCCTGAATCCAAGTCCAGACTCTTTCCGGGACCACTTTAGGGTAGAGGTGACGGGGATGTGGATGAAGGGCAATGGAACCACTGACTGTAAAGCAACCAATTTGCCACAGTTACCTTGGTAATTAAAGAAGCCTCTGGCCTTCTTCTCGTTGTTGGATGGAATGACAGTTCCAATGAAGAAATTTGCAATAGCAATGAGAAGAATGATCAGAAGAAGCACTTGAGCCTGAAAAGGCAAAGTAAAAAGATACCAGATAAGATTTATGTAACAGATTATTATTTAATTATACAAAATGTACATGTCCACTTGAGAAAACCTCTCATTATTCCAGTTAAGATTCTGATATCCAGAGTAAGTAATACGAACATCTCTATAGAATGGCATCTTAATAAGCCTTATTCTACCCGGGTGGAGATACTACATTTTCAATGGGAGCATGGGCTTAGGCAAGTAAAGGTAACATTTTAAGAACATTTCAAGTAGTAGGTGGGTAACTATCACAGGGATCCCAAGAATGTAAATGGAGCCCAAAATTTTAACACTGATACTGTTGAGTTCCTTTTTAGGCAGAACACCTATGAGTTCTTCCTTTTCCCAGTGCCAACTGTAGGAAGGAGTACAAGAACACAGAATGATTCAGAGACTTCCCAGGATTCTCAGTGCACATGATATTAGGCTGCTAATGTGGCCCAGCACAAGCGGTCTGCAGTGTGACCAGCCTAATGGTCTTCCTTCAACTCCTCCAACAGGCCCAGGTATTCACTGGTTTGGCACTCCCTTTGCCTGGGCTGCATGTCTCCCTACTCTTTGCACAGCTATTTTCTTGGTCTCATTCTTTAAGTCTCTGTTACCTCCTCAGAGAGGCCTTTCTTGACCAACCAATCTAAATATTAATAGCCAAAGTTCATTGAAGGCTTATAATATGACAGATGCAGATTTAAAATGTTACCTATAGTCTTGCAAGTAAACACTACCACCAACCCTATGAAGGAGGTAATATTATCACCCTCATTTTAAAGATAAGACAACTAAGGCACAGAGAGGTTAAGTTTATGAAAGGTCACACAGACATAAACCAGAGTCAAATTCGAGAAGTCTGTCTGCACAGCTGGAGCTTCAAACACCACACTATCCTACCACTAAACTACACTGCTTGCCTAAGAGAGTAGTCCAAGCAACACCCCCCCCCCCGTTATTTTCTATGTCAGTGCCTTATTTATTTCTTTTATCACACTTATAACAATTTACTGTTCTGTATTAGTTTATTTAGCTGTTTTGATTACTCATCTTCCCACTAGACCATATGCTCCGCGAGGGCAGCGGGTGTGTCTACTTTGGTCAAAGCTGACTCCCCAGTGCCTAGTGGAATGCCCAGCACATGGTAGGACTTAATCAAGTCTTTGTTTAATGTTTGAGTGCATAATCCACAAATAAATGTTATGTAGGAATGTTTCCTATGGCCTTATATAGGGGGAGGCATTGGCCATCTTTTGGTTTCTGGGGACCACCTGAGATTTAGTTACTATGTCTCCAGGCACGTAAGACATTTTCAATTGCACCAGTCACTGTATGGAGTTATAAGGGAGCAAAAGTCATGCTCCCCATCATGCAGAACATTGCTGTTTTACTACAACTAGTTAAACCCAGATAGTCTCTGACTCTAGGGCCTGTATGTCCTCGTATTTATTCCTGAAGGACTGAGTTATTTGAGGAGATTAACAAATAGTTTCCACCTCTAATACTCTCTCCCAACACACTTGCCATTTCTTTTGGGCTTCAGCCCCCCACAGCAAGTTTGAAAGGAGATGCCAGGGAGTTGATGGAGAGATGGGCTTCCAGCATGCACTATTGCTATGGCTGTAAGTGGTCTTTGTGTGAAGATGGCAGCAACCTTGGTGGCTGTGTTGCTGTGAGGACTGCATAAAGAAGGACAAGGCATAGGTGGCCATGTGGCACGTGTACTTTGGGTCATGAGTGCTGGGAGCTGGTGCTTTGAGGGCTTGGTGATCCACCTAGCACTACCATGCCCCTCTTACCACAGCAAGTAATAACAGCAATTCTTTTTGAATATGGGCTTCCTTCTATTTCTCTCTCTCCACTGTAATTTGGCCTGACCAGGGGTTGTTGATAACATTTTGAGAAATTCACCTTTGCTTCCCATTCCATTCCAGCTACTGAAATTCCTAAAAGAATCACCACTGTGATGGCACCTATTATCCGGATGTCATTGACTGGATCCACCATCATTGAATCACTCTCCTGGGGGGTTAAAAAAAAAATCACTAAAATGGTTAGAGACACAGTTGTCTGCATGTATGTCTTACCGTAGCATTTAATGATAGGAAGATATACTGTGCACTGATGCCTGGAGCCATATAGGGTAATAGAAAAATGAAGTGATGATAAATTTGAGAAGATGAGGAACCTAGCATTATCTTTTTCCTATGATAATAGGCCTTTGATAGCCAAGGTTAGGAGTTGGAAATTTTAGCGGTTCATTCTAGTCACAGCTTTCGAAGCTATTGTTACACTAAGTAAAAGTAAGTATACACACACATACTATGTTTTGTTTCAGAAGAATGACAGTTAATATTTGTGTGTGAGGGAAAACCTAGAGGAACCAAAATGAGTGGTTTCCAATGTGAATATTGGCAAATAAGTGCTATTCAATTAAAGAACAAACTTTAAAAACCAGATAAGACATCTCTTGAAGGTAATATACCGTCTGAACTATATAATACCCCATTTATTCATCTAATTTTCAAACAGAGGTACTTCTACTGATTGAACTGAATGAATGCTATGATTATCATAATAGGAGAACGAGAGGTTAGCTCATATACCAGTCAATTAACCTACTTGCATATACGCCATCCTAGACTGGGCATCTAAACTAGGAAACACCTAGTCTTCTGCAGTGAGTTATTCTAATGTTTGAACTTTCTTTCTCTTTAGAAATCTGTCATCATAACAGTATTATTACTGCTGATAATAAAGAATCCCCAATATTTATCCGATGCTTTGTATTTTTAAAACACTTCATGTATATTATTTCATTTGATACGTACTACATTTCTATAAAAACGAGAGAACAATATTATTATCCTGATATTATAGACTGAGAAAACAGAGTTCAGATAGGTAGATGGAGTAGCCCAAAGTCTCTCAGCTGATAAATGTGTGAGCCAGACTCAAATTCTGATGCCAAGCCCCAAGATGCTTCTACTATGTTGGTCTACATTCTGCAGAATAAATCCATTTCTTCTCATCTTTCCATAATGATATCCACTAGTGCCTGATAAAGCAAACTGAACTGAATTTTACTGCTTGGCTGGAGAAAAGGAAAGCTTTTAATTACCTTAAGAAGATCTACCACTGTCTCAGCAAATCCCACCACATACATAGCAACAGCCACTGCATTGGCAAAAGCAAAGATCAAGCCTATAGACCCGCCAAACTCGGGCCCTAAGCTTCTGGAAATAAGATAGTAGGCCCCACCTGAAAGAAGAAATGAACATGCTTTACATTGAGGAACTGCTAAGAGATTTAGTTTTAGTGATTAAATGATATTAAAATTCTGAGAACATTTGAGATATTAGTAATTATACTAAAAATAACACAACTTCCTAATAATCTTAGGGATCCTGTGTTAACTTAGTGAATAGCCTAGTCCTTCCTGTGTTCTGTGCACAATCTATAATAGAAGTATTCTGACTTCATAAAACCCACCACTGAAACCTTAATGTATACAAACGAGAATACAACAAACTTTACAGAACAATCCTTTGTTTTCTCAAAGTAATAATCAGAGAGTTCAAATCAATCATGCAACTGAAGAAAAATTTCGTACGTAAAATTTTTAAGAACAAGCAGGCCTGGGCAGAAAATCAAGTGGATGAAGTTTACCACTGTTCTTCTAACTTCCTTTCTGGTAAACATGTAAAAGTTTATGGTATACATTTTCTATATAAAATACTGTGCCTGTATAGTGCTATGTCCTTATTTATTCTATAAATAAGATTTGGTTTTCTGTATTTTTAGCTCAAGAAGGCATGATTATTGCCAAATACCCATATGTGTAGTAGTGTGATAAGAGTGAGCAAGGCAGGGAGGACATGCTTCTTTGGACACTGAGAGAATAAGGAGTCTTATCTATGGCTGCGTACCCTGTGCGCGTGAGAAGCAGAACAGACTGAACTAGAGGGTATCTAAAGCAGGTTACTGAAGGAAAAAAAAAACCAACTAGATATTGAGAGGCCTGATTATCACAGTCGTTGCTGTTGTCAGGTGCAGTAGAGTCCATGTCAATTGATAGCAATGCCATGTAACAGAGTACAATGGTCCCACAGGGTTTTCTAGGCTGTAATCTTTATGGGAGCAGATCGTCAGGTCTTTTCTCCTGCAGGGCCACTAGTGGGTTTGAACCATCGACCTTTTGCACCACCAGGGCTCCTTGGTTATCACCAGAACCAAAAAAACAAAGCCATTGTCATCAAGTCGGTTCTGGCTCATAGCGAGACCATAGGACAGAGTAGAACTGCCCCATAGTGTTTTCAAGGGGCACCTGGTGGATTTGAACTGCTGACCTTTATGGTTAGCAGCCAAACTCTTAACCACCACACCACCAGGGTTTCCTTGATTATCATAGGCTGGGCACTGAAGAAGACATGCTGAGGGGAATCAGGAGGGAGCCAGCGGGCCGATTCAAGGCATGAACAAACCATATATTTTACCGAAATACTCTATGCTTTCCTCATAGATACCTGGTCACTGTCCACTTTATAGACAGGTTTAATCACAGGAATGGGGTCAAAGAAGTCTTGTCTGGGGATCTCTTAATTTTAGTTGTGAATAATTTTGTCCTGCTTTTTAAATTTAGGATTTTCTTTGCTTTTTTTTAAATTTTGGGGACTAATTAGCTGTATTCAATTTTTACCTCCAACATTAAACCAACTCTAGACATTACTACATAACCAAAAACTTTCAGTTACAAGGAAATTAATTGGCTTACCTCCTCTTACTACTCCATTTGTGCAAATAGCAGACATAGAAATACCTGTTAGTGTTGTCACTACCACACTCAGGCCAATGACTATGACTCCAAGACCTGCAAAACCCCCAAGAAAGGCATTTGGTTCCAGGGCTGAGAGAGTCACCATTACTTGAAGAGACGTCAGGCCAACCTTCATCGTGGAAGGATCAGCCTCCCCATGAAAAACCTGTAATGTTCCCAAAGACTCCATTCCGTGAAGGTCTAGGAAGCACCTGAAATGCACTAAACTTTAAAACTGAGGTGATGTCCTGGAATCATTTCCAAGAAACACCAGCAAAAGGCATGCAGAGTAGCCTTAAAAGTAAAACATTAACCCAAGGAAGTCCAGCATCTGGAAACCAGGACCTGAAATGCACCAGAGAAGTCCATTAGAAAAGAGACTAGAGCTGACTGGAGTGGACCTGGACTATACTCACAGTACCTTATGCTTCCTTCTGCATCCAGCTCGTCCAAATGTTAGCCAGGCTTCAAGAACATCAGGCTACTTCCTTGTCCCCATCAAAAAAGTGTATATAAAAAGTTTTGCCTACCCGTAGCAAATGATGAGGGCATTAGATATCTTAGAGATTTTACCTCCACGAACAAACCCGTTAGTTGCTATTGCAGAAGTTGACAACCCAGTAATAGAAGTTACCATGGTGGAAAGAAGAATTATGAGAACTCCAAGACCTGTTAGCAATGAAAGATAGAAGAAGTTATATTTTACTTCTCTGCCTTGTATTCCCTATTGCTGCAAACTACACTGACTTCAATTTTAGTTTTCACATCCAAGCCTTGGGCCCCAATGGGGTTCCTTTGTGCTAAGAAGAAAGTGGTATGCCTGGCATAAAGATCAAGCTGGAGAACTCATAATGATGAAGGACGGTTTCACAACGCAAACGTAATCTAAAATGCAGCCCTGGAAAGGAAAGGCTGACTTATGTTGGTGTCCTGGGAGAGAAGCTACCCCGGCTGTGAAGAGAGAAGACCTGACGTTTGACCTTCTCTCTTGCTCCAGAGGAACCTGAATGAGAAAGTTAGGGGGTTGACAAGGGTGAAATCCTTCCCGGTTTTTCTTGCATCTCTCTTGCCTGGGAAAAAAAAAAGGAACCAACTTGGAGTACCTTTGAATACATTCCAGAAAGGTCAGTGGTGAGCTATTTGAGCTTGTACTGCCTTTACCTTACAAGTGATCGTGCGGGTCACAAATTTAATTACCTCCTCTGACATATCCATTTGTGGCAATAGCAGAGGTAGATAAACCAGTGATACCAGTCACTGTCACAGCTAAGGCGATGATAATCACACCAAGACCTCAGTTGAGAGAGGAAAAATAAAGGCAATTAAATGGTGGAACAATCCATTAGGTTGTTCACATAAAAGCCAGCAAGTCTAGGGTAGTAACTCAAGAGGCTGAGCTATGCAGTGCTAAGTTGCACACAACCGAACAACTATGGCTGGTCAAAATTAATGTGAATCCCTTATGAATCTCTAGACACCTGTAAACCTAATTAATCATTGATCTATATAATTCCAAGCTGTTAATATAACAGTAAATTAAATGTTTATCCTTCCAGCTAACTATCTTTTTATGCACATTTGATTGTGGAGGGGGTGAAAAATCTCAGACAATATTGCAAATTGTTCATCCGGCAGATGGGTAGAGTGGAAAGAATCAAATTGAATTACATCATTAGGGTCGGTAGATCATTGGCCGAGTGACCTCTGACAAGTTGCTTATCTTCTGAACCAGAAATGGCAATGGAATTAGGAAAAAGGCCTGTGTACAGTGACTAGCACAGTGCACAGAACCCAGTGAACAATCCGTAGTAATGCTTTTTGATCATTCTACAAGTGTCAAAATAGCTAAAAAAAAAAAAGGTCATTGCTGATGAGTTGATTGCTGCTTATAGCAACCTATAGGCTATGAGTTGGAATTGACCTTACGGCAACAGGTTTGGTTTTGGGTATATACAGTAAAACCTGTGAAAGCTGGAACCTGTGTAAGGCGGAAACCTATGAGAGAAGGAAAACTCAAATATTTTCCACTAAAACGAGGGATAGAAAAGGGGTGAGACTGCACCCTGCCTAAGGCAGAAGACTTGCGAGACCCGGAAAAACCAGGCAGTCCCATCGAGTTCCGGCTCTCACAGGTTTCACTGTATCAGGCTCTGTGTGAGGTGGTGTAGGAAGTACAAGGAACAAATAAAATAAAACAAAAACAGCTGCCCACAAGGCTCTTGTGGCTCCGAAGGTCAATCATTATAACGAGAGGTTGTTGTTAGTTGTCACTGAGTTGATTCCGACTCATGGTGACCCCATGTGTTACAGAGGAGAATTGTTCCATAAGGTTTTCTTGGCTGTAATCTTAACAGAAGCAGATCTCCAGGCCTTTCTTCTTCGGTACCACTGGCTGGGCTCGAATCACAATCTTTAGGTTAACAGTTGAATACAAACCATTTGTGCCAGCTACCAAACCCATTGCCGTCAAGTGGATTCCAACTCATAGCGACCCTGTAGAGCAGAGTAGAACTGCCCCATAGAGTTTCTAAGGCTATAAACCTTTACAGAAGCAGACTGCCACATCTTTCTCCCAGGAGTGGCTAGTGGGTTCAAACCTTTCCGATAGCAGCTGAGTGCTTAAGCACTGCGCCACCAGGGCTCTTTTTGTGCCAGCTAGGGATCTTCATAAGAGGGAGAAAGTGGTAAAGGCCAGAATTCAGAGGAAGGCAAGGCTGCTTTCAGCTTTAGGAAATACGCAGCCAGGAGGGCACCCTCTTCAAGAGAGGCCGACTCAGAGCTCAGGGAGAGGGCTGCGGAGTCCCAGCCACCGGGCCTACCCTGGCTGTGTCCCGGAATGCCCTGGCCTGGGCCTGTTTGGTATGCCGCGCCACACGAAGTTGTTGTCAGTTGCTGTTGACTCTATCCTGACTCATGACCACCCCACGTGTGCAGAATAGAACCGTGACTTTTCGGAAGCGGATCACCTGGCCTGTCTCCTGAGGTGCCTCCATGTAGATCCAAACCTCTAACCTTTTGGCTAGTAGCAAAGCACTTAACTGTACCCCCCAGGCCCTACATGAAGTAGATGCTCAACAATTGCTCTTGGCAGCTCTCTTACACCAAGGACTGTTGAAGATTGGACAAGATTTATCCAGCCATGCCCTGAGGGAAGGGGAGTGGAGGGAGGTGAGGACAGAAAGGGGACTGAGGGACTGAAGGCCGGCTCTTCTGATGCTCCCAACTACACATCAACTCTAGCAGGAGGGCACTAGGGACGCGGCTGACTGTAAGCCACCCACTGCAAACTGGTTTCAGCTTCTCCAGACTTGCAAAAGCCAAGAGTTGTAAGACATGGTTGCCCTAATTCTTTGTGTCTTACGAAAGGATCCTGTGGTAAGCACTGCCTCTGTATCACGCCTTTGTGCCACTAAAGGTAGTTGATTTTTATCACTGGCACATTATTTTTCTCTTGATTTTGTTTTGAAGAACTTTGGTATCGAATGTTTAGCTCACCCCTAGAAGCTGTACAGAACCATAGAGTTTGCATCTCACGGCATTAAACCTACTCGGTTGTCTTCTTACCCTTGTTTTCCCTTTGCCTCTTTTCCCAACAATTTTTTAATTTATCCTTTCACATCAGATGCATTTCTGTTAACTGTTTGAAATGCTGGAACAAAGTTTTATACTTTTAAACAGCCAGGGATTTGCTTCTCTCTCGCAATCCAACATAGAATTTCAGGATTGAGAGGCCGCTTAGAAAACATTTAGTTCATTGTTTTCTCCAATTGTGGTTCTTGAACCACCTGTGTCAGGAAATGCCCAGGGTTCTTATTTAAAATGCCAGACTACTGAGTTCAGGTCTTTAAAAATGGATTCAAGGATTCTGCAGTTTTCTACCCTAACTTCCCAGGTAATTCTTACGCAGACCATAGTCTGAGCTACCCTCAGCCTGTCTCAACTTGTGCTTGCCTGCTCAGCAAGGTCCTTTGGCTTTATCTTCAAAGAATTGACTGGGAAAGAATGAATCCAGCTCCCTAATTTTTATATAAGAATGTGAAACTCATGGAACCTAAGTAGCTTGCTATGTAGGTCACACCGCTTCCGCTTCTTTTCACACCCCTCTTTCTTTCCTGAAGGTTAAGTTCACTGGAAACCACCTTGCCCCAGCCCAAGGTCTCCAAGACAGAGAAGAGCTAGACAGCATCACCAGCTCATTCTACCATTTGTTCTGGGAACACAGCAGCCAAAACTCATAGTCCCAGGGCTGCAGCTAGTGTTACTCCTGGCTCCAGCTGCCTTTCTTCCCAGGATCTGGGCTTGAACATGTATTTAGGTTTCTTCCCCAAACTACCCCTGAAGCAAGATGAAAATACTTGTATCTGTTTCTTTCCTTTCTCAAAAAATGGGACCCAGATGATGACGCAGTCAACTCATTTACCTTTAGGTTCACAGCAAAGGCCAGTAAAACTGAGGAAGGGGTGATAATAAGGTTCTATTACTCATTAAAGCCTTTCTTATGAAGATTTAAAAAAAAGCTCCCATTGAAAAGAAAACCCACTGGACACCCATCCAGGTAGACCATTGCTCTCTTCTAAAGTACAATTGTCTACTTAAGTAAAAGGCCCTTATTAAAACAGCATCAACACCTGAAAGTATAATAAACAATTTAGTAGAGTATAGGGTTCTTCATATTTTACAATTTTGCAGTAAATATGAAACTGGTTTGACTGTGAGGAGTAATGTAAGATCTGATTAAAGTTCAGATTATTGCCCAAACATATGGATGTTAAATAAGTTGCATTAAAAAGAATTACTCTTGCCCTTGGCTTCTCTCACACTTCCAAACAAAATAATGTTTCTTGATATCTCAATAAGTTACTAAACTGCCCTTAAAAACCTAATTTTGCATGAAACCCTGGAGCAAAAACTTGGCAATATTAAGATGCCTCGATTTTCCATGGAACAGCATACACTTATCTTGGACCCTGCAGCTGTAAGCATTCATTTGATATGCATCATAAAACCTGCCAGCAGCCCTTTGTCAGGATCCCAGCAGTCCCCAAACATGAAACATGGAAAAACGATGGGAACTGGTTCCAGCTTTTCAATTTATAATTCAGCCCTTTCTTTTTCCGACTTAAGTCTTTCTGATGCCTCTGAATGTGTTTCCAGGAGCGAAGGGAATAAATAATGAGCAAGTATCTTTTAAATGTGAGTTGAGATATAGTCTGGACTAGTGTCTGGAAGCACATATGAATGTCTATATTCTTGATACTAATGATTCATACGTCTTCCCCCAAATTGGAATCTATAATGTATTTTCCAGATACATGTTCATATATAAAGTAAAACATCATTAATCTCTACCACATTAAATAAGGAACTCTGTTAAAATTTAAAAAAATTTTCATATAAAGTTTACTAATGCACTTTAATTAAAAAAAGAGATCTGCTAGGAAAAATAATACTTTAAATGGGATATAATATTTAAAAATATTAAGTAATCACTCAATAATTTCAACATCTTCTATTTCCCACTTAGAAAAATTAGCATTAGCTGTTCAATCTATCATTTTAAGCTTCTGGCAATACTTTATTAACCTGCTGGTACCTAAAAGTAACAAAATTATTTTCTTTGGAAAACATTCAATAATTCAGCATTTTTCTTAGTCAGGTCACATTTTCACCAGTTTTTCTACAAGTTATTTTGGTTTAGTAAGTTTTGGCAATAATTATAAGGGGGATATTCTGTGATAAATAAGGGACAAATGTCAGTCTGTCCCAAAATATGAATAGCATTACCCAAAAATGAATGTGTCTTCATATGCCTGTACACTTTAATCAAAGATGGAAATAATTACGTGAGTATTCACCCGCTTGGCAAGCTGGAAAATTCCACTCCTGCAGAATTTAATTCTTCACCTTTCCCCTCTGACAAACAGTGTCAAAGAGGGAAAGTAAAACGAGCCCGGGTGTAAATCATCTCTGTGACCGTCTTCCCACATTTAGCATTAGTGTTACTGACTGAGCTTATAATTTACATTGAAAATTGTTTAGAAGGGGAAAAATGCTTACCAATTCCAGCTTCTCCAACAATCCAAGAGAGGCGAATGAAGAGCATGACACCCCAGATATTCAGCATGCATCTTACCTGTAGATATAAGCGATGTTGAAAGCAAAGTGATAATAGGGCAAAAGCCGGCAGTCTCTGTAACTCTGTGGTGGTCAGGCCTAACTGTTAACACTTAGTCCGCTAGGACATTTACTGGGTAATCTTTACTTGTAAACATAGGAGCTTTCTCACCAGCACACCTTTCACCCATCCAAACTTCACAGCACCGCTTTGATCATCTTCCTTGTCTTCAGTCTGTTCATCTCCAGGCATCCCTTCGCCATTAGGAACCCTGTCAGCGGAACCCGGAGCCACAGCCACATTCTGCATTTTTACACATAGCAAAAACACAGTATTTGGTCAACAAACAAGTGGTTCCACAAACCTTTCAAAGGCAAATCACACAATTGACACAGAACTTTAGAAGAAAGAAAAAGCAAACGTAGTCTAGTCATTTTAGCAAAAGAATAATTTTGGCCTTGGGAATTGACCATTCGTGAATGATTTTAGGCACCACTAAGACTGCGAGGGGAATCCCTGGGTGATGCAAACTGTTAATGCGCTCCATGCTAATCAAAAGGTTGGAGGCTCGAGTCTACCCAGAGGTACCTTGGAAAAAAGGCCTGACAATCTACTCCCTACAAATTAGCCATTGAAAACCCTAGGGAACACAGTTCTACTCTGACACACGGAGAGCCACCATTAGTCAGAGTCGATTCCATGGCAATGGTTTTTTGGTTTAAGAGTGTGAGGGATGGTGGAACAGAGCTGGGGCCAGAAGACAAAAACCTGGGTGGTTCTTCCGCTGGTGACTGTGTGTCCTCAGTTGAAAGCGGTCAGATTTAGTTAAATTCATAACACAAAAAGAACAGAAGAGAGATGAAGAGATGTATGGAAGGGCCGAAAGCCTAGCAAGAATGAATGAAGGCCTTTTAGAAGGCATGTTAGAACGGTCAGAAAACTAACCGTCCCGACTAATGCAAAGCATCTGCCCTCTCCATTAACCTCTCTGTGGCTCGTTTTATTCATCTAAAACAATGATGATGAAACTTCTCTACTCACCTAGGATCTTTAAGGGGATTCAATGAAAGAACACATAGACGTGTTTTCTAAGAAAAAGTTTTAAAGTATTCTAAACATGTTTAAGGGCATTGCATGATTATAAGAATGCTGTTCCTATATTAGGGGACGTTTCAGATTTGACATGCCTTTGCCTTACAATTATTGAATATGCTAGTATCGAACACCACCACGACCAGTGGTCGTAGAGTTGATTCCGACTCTTGGTGACCCCATGTGTTTCAGAGGAGAACTGCACTCCATATGGTTTTCATGGCTGCGACCTTTTGGAAGCAGATCACCAAGCCTTTCTTCAGCAGCACCTCTGGGTGGGTTCAAATGGCCAACATTTCACTTAGTAGCCCAGTGCTTGCCTGTTTACACCATCTAGCAGTGTTGTACAGAAGGTAAGAAATTTCATGACTAACTACTAGAAAGACTGACTAAGTAGAACTAATAAGTAGACAGTATAAATAAGGGTTAAGAGTCTTATTTAATTTTTTTTCTGTGACCTAATTTTTTGAAAGTCCTTCCTTCTTAGTAAGACAGTGTGAGTTCACTGGGGGAGGAATTAGCTCCATTTTCCTCAAGTTAAGAACGGCTTTCTAATTTCTCTAGAAGATGTGACTTTGTGTAATTTCAGATGCACCTATTTACTTAAACTTATCCGGTACCTACTTGGCTGGTTATTGGGTGGACTGCATCCCACTGAGCTCCCCAAAGGCAATTTTTTCCAGTAAGAGTTTTGAAACAATTGGGGAAGTCTCTTAGATTCAACACTTACTTACCTTTATTATAGAATAACTTTCTTATTTAACTCGTTTAAGCCTAGAATGGTATGTTTTGACACTACTAGCTAAGAAGGGAGCCCTGGTGGCACAGTGGTTAAGAGCCTGGCTGCTAACCAAAAGGTCAGCAGTTCAAATCCACCAGCCACTCCTTGGAAACCCTGTGGGGCAGTTCTACTCTGTCCTATAGGGTCGCTATGAGTCAGAACCAACTCAATGGCACCTAACAGCAGCAACAACAGCTAAGAAGTCTCAGACAAGTGTATTTTTCCCCTCTAAAATGGGACTCGTGTGAAATAAATAATCAGTATTTACAATACAGATGTTTTCCCCCCCTGGGATGGCTGAAGTTCTTTACCATTATCCTTGTCGTAAGTAAGGGCTCTCATCTCTTTAGGCTTTGGTGTACCGTTAGCATACCCACTGTGAGCTGACCCTATTTGGGCTGTTTACTCCAACTGACTTTGATTTCTTTGTAGTCTTCTTCCAGGAAATTCTCCTTTTTCTCTATGTAAGTAAGGATTCCTCCCAACTTTCTTCTCCTATAGGGTTGCTATGAGTTGGAATCAACTCGGTGACAATGGGTTTGGTCTTTTGGGTTCTTCTCCTATAAGACTTTGTTCATGACACTGGTATGTCAGGGATAACTAATATAATACAACAAGGTAAGAGTCATTATATGACAAATTAATTGGAGGAGGGCAGTGGCACAGGTTATTTCTTCTCAATGCCAACCAAGGGCCAGCGGAACATTCACGAACAGTTGTTGAATCAACAAAGTGGATTTGAGGAGCCCGATCACAATCATTTAGAAGCAGATGACCTAGTTTCTTATCCATCTTTGCCCCCTGTTTCTTGTCTCTCCTTTCCCTTTGGGCACTCCATTTCTCATTGTTTCTTCTGTGCAGACCACACAAAAAGGGGGAGAGGAAGAGAATGAACCCCAAGCCAGATCACCTTGTTGTTTTCTGACAGCATTGGGGGAAAAAATGAGTGAAAGAGGAGATTGAAATTAATAGTTAACATTTAGGTTTTTAATTACCTGAGGAATATCTTAATCTTAGATAATGAAATTTGCACAGATAATTGATAGCTGACTTCATAAATTTATCCCAGCGTGAGATAAGGGTAAACAAAATCCAAAGACACTGAGGGTGTCCTGGCAGGGCAGGTGATCTATACCAGCACTGTCCGATAGAAACAGTTAAGGCACAAATGTAAGCCATGTGTATAATTTAAATTTTTCTAGTAGCTTTACATTAAAAAATTAAAAAGAAATTGGTGAATTAGTTTTATGTTAGTCAAATATATATAAACTATTATCATATCAGCATATAATCAATATGAGGATATTAATGATACATTTTACAATCTTTTTTTCACACTAAGTCTTCGAATTCCAGTGTGTACTTTACACTGACAACACATCTTAGTTTGGACTAGCCATGTTTTACGTGCTTCATCGCCACGTGGCTAGTGGCTACCATATTGGATAGCACAGGCCAAGTTCATGGATAAAACATGTGAGGCCCTTTTTCACTCACTTAAAAATTCTACTTTTCTCTGAAAGAATTCTATATACATAAGGCAGCTGAAAGGTTCAAATGTACCTTTCATTTTCCATAACTGAAACTTGTAATCAAAGAGTAGATAATTGAGGAATTAGTGAACATGCCCATACATGTGGAAGACATTATTTCTTTAGAAGATTCATTTATTTGACTTGATTTGAGAAAAAACTTTTTTTTTTAATTATCAGTATTCTAGTTAATCAAGATCCCATGACCAGACCATCAGCAGCTACTCATTAAGGGAGAAGACAATTTCCTTTTCCTGTATTAATTGAGGATCCCATGAGACACAGCTTTAGTCACTTGCTTTTTTAAAGCAGTCTTGGGAATAGGAACTGTGTTTTCTGGTTAGGCCTGAACTTGAGAGCTTGGTTAGGAAATTGCTCTGCTCCCAGATGAACTGTGATGGTGACTGCATGACCCTTAGATTCGGATTAATGAGAATACCAATGACTGTAAAAAGCGTCTTACAAAGAAGGCTAAAGGATGAGTAAGATATTTAAATTCTCCCCTTAAATGAACATTCCTCCTGATGACTGCCCTCCCGGTCACAGTTTAATAGTTCTTTAATTTATCATTAGGACATCCCAGTGTAATGATAAAAGAATGTTCTCCAAGGGCATGGCAGAGAAACCTTCATACATGGAAATTAGTAAAGCAATCAATTTCCCAATTATTCAAAATAGAATAGAAAAACAGGATGCTCAACTCTCCCCTTCAACCAGCTAGAATTTAAATTTTTTAAATCTATTTCTATCATAGAGGGGAAAACCCTCCAGTCACATTTCTTTTGTTGGTTAGAAAGGTCTGATAGTAAATTTATGAGTACATGATCCATTTCCATTTCTCCCTCTCATGTAGGAGCCCAGAATCGCCACACTGTATAAGCTAGGAGACTTGGAATCTGGTTTGGCTGTGTAATTAACTGAGGGTGTATCCTCCAGCAAGTTGCTTAACCTTTCTTGGATACTGCCAACGAGGACAAATCCAACAGGTTTCTGAAAATCTCACCTTCAAGCAGTCCATTCTAAGGCAAAATCATCTTTCTGTTTGCTACCTTCCTCTTCCGACATGGCAAAGCAAAACTGTTTCACTCTTTAATAAATGCCTCCTTGAAAGCCCAAACAGCAATTATAGGTTCAACTTATCTCCAAAGTACTAAACCTGACTCAGGGTTGGGCTATGAAGGGACTTGAAGGCTGCGACCTATAACCAGTGTTTGCAGACTCCTAGCTGGTGCGTGTTCTTGAGACTAAAGCCTCAAAGACTAAAAGTTTTATGACTGCTGCCTGAAACCAGTTTTTCCTTCCTACTTTGAATTAATTTGTTTGTTTATACTCCATTTCCATAAATGATGACCCGGAACCTTCCATAAATGCATTTTAAATTGTATAGCTTTAGGGAATGATTATTTATTTACCAAGAGTTTTACCTGTGCATTCAGTATTGGGACAAGGTAAAATAAAGTGTGTTTTTTCAAAAGAAAGAGACCATTTGATAAAAGGCTTCCCCCCTCCAATACTGATAAACCAGTGAAGCTTCAATCACATGCAGTCTAAGGGCAAATTCCTAATGGGTTGTTCTGGATTGAAAAATAAATGATGAAAAATTAAATTATTTTACTTAATATGTAATGTGATTTTCAGACTTCAGAAAAACAACAAATACCTTTCTAGGTATCATCAAAGCTGAGGAAAATAAGTATATTCATTAAGTTCCAACTAGAAAATATTTGCTACTTATACATCTTTTCAACTTCCAAGGCTTTGGTTTCCGAATCACAGAATTCTTAGACCATCACTGAGAAATAATTCCATAAATATTTAGGCTTATATGAGTCCCCTGTCTCATTATTTTAAACTTTTTAATTACTGAAATATTCAAACATACACAAAGTATAGAGAAA